CGGCCGATCCTCCTGAAGTATGGAGATACCCTAACTCGCAAGGAGTGGGCATTTCTCTTTGTACATTTAAAGTGTAAAAGCAGGCAGCAGCACATCGTTCGTCATGGTTCAAAATCACTGCGCCATTGTAAATTACAAATATTTGCAAGACCCATTCTTTTGCAGAACTCTTTCCTTTTCAGAGAATTCAAAATTTCGAGCCTTCTTATTTATGTGGTTTAGAGTATTATGTAATCCCTTTAGTTACTAGCTCCTCTATTAAAATAAGCTCACCCTGGAACGCAGTGTTACTGTCAGATGATTGTTGCCGCTGCTGCTGCTGATCATTGGCCCAAAACTGATACAATGAAGCAATCTTCGTTTTTGATTTTGGACCCATGTTATTCTGAAGGTAGTAAATTGAAAATCATGAGTGAAAGTGTAATGACCCAAAGAAGAATATTAGAAACAAATGGTAAGAAAGTATGCCAAACCGTGAAATGTTCGAATTGTGGCATTTGCCTCTGTTTACGCATTTACACCACCTGCCGCGAGGTTCACGTCAACCGGAAACTAAAACTTGGCCGGAAACCTATCATTTAAATGTCTTCTCCTTTAGAATTTTGGAATTTTTTAAAAGTCTTAGAAAATCCTTGGCCTGCATTCAAAGTTTGTGCGACTATTCGAAATACGACTCTTTATTCTCACAAATCTCCATTTTCAATCGTTTTGCGGAATTTTTATGCTGTACTTCATCTCTGTTTGAATTTTGTTTTTAGATGTCATCAGTAGTTAAACTAGAAGCGCTGTCGGGAGTCAAAGACGAAGGACCTTTATGTTATGTATTACAGGTAACTCTTAAGTGTTCACCTTTTTTGTTGGAGGGACGGTAATCGGGCTCGCGTATGGGGGCCCTTTTCGCGCGCGCAACTGTGAACGTATAGTTAGGGAAATCTCAACAGTATAAGAAAAACGTATCGAATGGAGTAGCTGAGAAGCACATAAAAAGAATAAAGTGTCAAACTATTAACAGGAAGAAAACAAGAGCAGTCTACAAACGCTCCAACATTTCGTTTTTCGAGAGTTTTGTAAATACGAACAAATTTTTCTCTTCTATATCTTTTCAAGCTGTCATGACCCGTTTTTGCAGACGCAACATGCTTTTCCTATACCTGCATACAGGAACATACAAATTTATATGCAAAAAAAGGCTGCAGCGCAGTTGCGCGCGCGAAAAGGGCCCCCATACGCGAGCCCGATTACCTTCCCTCTTTTTGTTGTAAAACCTCTTCAAACGAAAATTTTTCAGAAATATTTAGAAATTTTCTAGATTGAAGAAACATTTTTATTGCTGGACTGTGGCTGGGATGATAAATTTGATATGGGCTATATTGAGTCTATAAAGGCACGAATACCACAGGTGTCGTTAATGTTTTTTCCCCAAGTTCTGATTTATTTTGCATTCATTTTAGATTAGCGCTGTATTAATCACGCACCCCGATCAACCACATCTCGGTGCTTTACCCTATCTGGTGAAATACTGTGATCTTACTGCACCAGTCTATTGTACTGTAAGTATCTCTTTTACATTGTTATCCTTTTGATACTTTCATCTATTGCATACTCACATACTTTTGATTCTGTCTGTTTCATTCAGCGAGAAAAAGACGAAGGTGGCTTTGATCTATGCGGAAAATCGGCAATAAAAGCCCCAAGGCTGATTGCTTTCGTTTAGGTGCCGGTTTACAAAATGGGTATGATGTTCATGTATGACTGGATAAACAGTTTGATGACAGTCGAGAATTTTGAGCTGTTCACACTGGACGACGTTGATGTGGCATTTGACAGAATGCAGAAGCTCAAGTTCAATCAAACGGTCAGTTTCCAGCTATTTGTTTTTTGTTTCTGTTTGTTGGTTTCTTTTTCAAACTCTTTATTACATGTATTTACTGCTGATATGGATGTACTGTTATGTACACTTGAGTTAGTTTGGGACAAATACGCCAAAAGGTGCCAGACTCAAATCTCGTTATACTTTTCTTTGATATAATGATTGACGAATCCACGAATTAATCAACTTTCACATCTTTTTTATCCAAATTTACTAGGTTTTTATGCTTTTTCTTAAGTTCACCTCTCTACTTTGCAGTACTAGTACCTGCCCTTGAAATCTTATCTGATTCAAAAAAAAAAAACACCTTTTCAGGTCCCTTTGCGAGGTGACAGCCAAATCAAAATCACCGCTCTGCCAGCGGGTCATATGATCGGTGGTGCTATGTGGAGGATAACTCGACATGATGAAGAAGATATCATTTATGCTGTTGACTATAATCACAAAAAAGAAAGGCATTTAAATGGATGCTCTTTTGATAGTGAGTAAATGAGGCTTATTATCATTTTGAAAATCTCTGGTAATCAAGTGTCACATATCCTTCAGCTATTCTAAGACCTTACCTTCTGATAACTGACTCGCTGAATGCGATGTATACACAACCAAGAAGGAAAGAGAGGGATGAACAATTGGTGACAACAATCCTTAAGTGAGTTTTCAAAACTCTATGCTTTTTTCTAATTTTTTTACCTTTAGAGACTAAATATTTAAGTGTTATGTCTTTCCGAATGAATTGGATTTCAGAACCGTCCGGCAGAATGGTGATTGTGTTATCGTGATTGACACAGCAGGGCGTGTTTTGGAAATTGCACATCTCCTTGATCAGCTGTGGGCTAAGTAGGCTTTGATATACAACATTATTACACAACTAATGCTACTAATCGAGTTTCTAATGTAAACCTTTTCAGCACCCAATCTGGCTTACAAAAATACAATCTTGTGATGCTGAGCCATGTAGCTGCTTCTGTTGTAGAATTTGCTAAATCTCAGGTGGAATGGATGTCGGATAAAGTTCTGAAGTATGCATTTTCTACTCTTTTCATACTTTTCATTGTTTTTTCTTCTTTCTTATTTCTATATTCTAAAAAATACTTCCTTTACTTTTCCTGGTTTTACATTGTTTCCTAGTTGCTTGATTGTTAATCGTGCAATTTTTGCTAATTGCACTTGTTAGAAAGTTAAACAATACCGTTCTAGAAGCTTTGAGACCGGCCACACAAATCCTTTTTTGTTGAAAAATGTCAAACTATGTCATTCTCAGATCGACTTAGCCAGGGTCAGGTCTCCGAAGGTATGTTAATCTTCCCCTTTCGCTTTTTCTCAACATCCAAAAATATTGAGACAAAATATGAAACTGACTCTTTAAAGAGCACTTTTACGTTCAGGTAGTTTTATGCAGTGGTATTGACATGGAATGCGGCTATTCTCGGGAGTTATTTCTTGATTGGTGTAACGACAGTAGAAATTCGTTCATTATCACAGGTGAATTCTGTTTTAAAATTTTTCTCGATTTGTGCTTTATTTTGACCAAAGAATCTTCGGTTTTATTGCACGTACTGATTCCTTTCTTCTTCCTATTTGCAAGTTGGTGTACTTAAGCTGGAGGAGCTTTTCTCGTTGATTTCTTTGAAAATGAATGCTATGCTTCAGGCAGATCAAGCGAGCGAACTCTGTGCTCCAAGCTTATCTACATGGCTGAATGTTTGGCAACTAACTCAAGGACGAATAGAATTGTAGCCTTAGAAGTAAAGAAGAGGGTTCGATTAGAGGGTGCCGAACTTGAAGCCTACAAGAAGAAGAAGGCACAAAAAGACAAGGAGGAAGCCAGACGGAGGTAAGCTACTGTCAAAATCCTAATTTTCACTGCTTTCATCCATTTTCTGACCTCGAGGATATCTAGGTTGGAGCAGCAAGAGAAACGCCAAGCTGAACTTCGTGGCTATGATTCGGATGATGACGATGAAATGATAGCAAGCGCCTTAGCCGCCGTTGAAACTCTTCGTACGAAAAAAACGAAAGAAGAAGAAGCCGCGGCTGCAGCGAAAGGTGGTGAGAAGCTTTCAAAAACAGCAACTCCAATGGTTATTGACTTGGAACCGAAAAAGGAAATCGT